AACCCTGGTAACCTCTTTGTAAAATAGGCTAAGGTTATAGGTTCCTGGCTAGGTAGGATCAACACCCCTGAGTCAGCTTGAAGAAGTTACAGAAGATGAATCTTCACCCATCATCCCCTTTTTAAGACCAAGGGTCCAGAGTCAGTTTTGGAAAAATGAGGCAAAATAGATAAAAGTTGTTGTCTTGGTAAATTGTCCTGGGCCATTGTCTAGATGGTCTTAAAGACCAGTGGGGCCACAGTCTGCCAAGTCTATGTACTGCATCCTTAACCAGTCCGTGTAGAAATTTGCAGCCCAGCACGAGGTGTGACAGTCCCTTGGAGCCACTGAGAGATGCTGCTGCTGCTGCTGCTGCTGCTGTATACCCTAATGGGTAAAGTTCAACAACAGCCTGACAGTCACCTGGAGGAAATCTACATCTTCACCCAGACCACCTCCACTGGAGTAAAAGTAGACTGAACTCCTGCCTGATTCCATCACCTGAGACTGCTTCCCGGTTGAAAGCTGCTAAAACTAAGATCTTGTGGGACATTATGTTGGTGATATCCAGTAACCCTCTCTACTCCCACAGTGGATATTGAGGACAAGGATATCACTGGCCTGCCTTAGGCACTTTAGTGCATAGTGACTGGAAATCCACTCTATAGTCACAGCCTAGTTTGGCTCTGGTACGGTAATAACCTGCTTTCTCCTGAGTGTGTGTTGTCAAGGCAGTTAGTAAAAGGAATGAGACCCAGCCCTGCTCTTAGCCTTAAAATCTAGCAAGCTTCTCCATCCCAGTGGTGCCTTGAGGCTGTTCTGAGATAACTTGGTTCCACAAGCCAAAGGAAAAATTGGGCAGTTTTAAACTCTAGCCACAAAGAAGCTTAAGGAATTGTATAGAAAGAGGGTAGTAAAGAAAGCCGGGTGGGGCTGGGAAGGTGGCTCAGTGGTAGAGCGCTTGCCTTGCATGCCAGAGGCCCTGGGTTCGATTCCTCAGCACCACATAAGCAAAAAAGAAAAAAGCCGGAGGTGGCGCTGTGGCTCAAGTGGTAGAGCGCTAGCCTTGAGCTGAAGAGTAGAGGGACAGCACCCAGGCCCAGAGTTCAGGCCCCACTACCGGACCCAAAAAAAAAAAGAAAGCCTTGGGAAAGGAATTGGTCTCCTCTGGATAAGAAAGGGTTTGCAAAAGTAAGGATTATCTTAAAATGTTTGTAAGTTTAAGTATGTAGCAAATGGTATGAGTGTGTCTTCATATTGGAGCTTATGAGTAAAGCTGATATAAAATTAAGTTAGCTGTGCTATCCATACAGTCAGGATTGGTGCACTGATGTGGAACATTCTTTTTTTTTTTTTTTGTGCTGTCCCTCAGCTCTTCAGCTCAAGGCGAGCGCTCTACCACTTGAGCTATAGCGCCACTTCCGGTTTTCTGGTGGTTTATTGGAGATAGGAGT